ACTATTTTTGTTGACCTTTGTCCATGGAAGGTCCCTGCAAAATTTCATTGAAATTGGTTCAGGGGTTTTGGAGAAGAAGTCGAAAATGTAAATTGTTTACGGACGCACGACGGACGACGGACGACGGCGGACAAAAGGCGATCGCAATAGGTCACTTGAGACTTTGTCTCAGGTGACCTTAAAACTTGTTGATTGAGATGCTGACAAAGTCAATGGACCATGAAAGGTAGGCTGCATCCAGCATTTGATGCATGTAAAAGCAATGTTACCAGAAAAAGCTGAAAAAAGTTGAATAACCCCATTTTAAATAGCAATTGTTGTTTTGAAAGTGCCATGATTCAATCATCTGAAATATTCTTGCTCATGTTAGCGTTTGAAACAGGAGGCATTGATTTGCGTACTTTGCAAGCGTCTCAGTGACTCACTGTAAGCGTATTATAATTGCTTAATTGGACCTGGAGACTGACACAATGTTCCTGATTTTGCAGAAAAGCAACACCTTAGTCTGGCTTCCGCTGCTCGTGGCGACGAGACAAAAAACGGAAGATCGAATTGTTCTCTGCTAGACATACTCACCAAAATATGGTTTTACACTGAGCACAGTCCACCTTTTTAGACCTCGTATCTTTGGCTCTGACAACATTGGAACAATTTGGCCCGGGACAGAATCTCAGCTGGGGATGTGTCTGTCAAAACAAAAATGAGCTGTACAGCTGAAGAAATTTAAAGGATAACTTGCATTGTTTACTGGTAATGTAAATTTGGTGTAATGGCACATTACAATCTGGTTCAAGCTGACACTATATGGCACTGTTTGTCTGGCATTTTTGATGTGACATCAACATTTTTGATGCGACATCAACATTTTTGATGTGACATCAAGTCTTGTTATGACAAACTACGAGTATTCCATTAATTCAAAATTATGGTTTCACTGGGAATCAATATTAACAATTTTTATGTAAGGTCAATGAAACTAACTCAGTTTTTGAACTCATTTCATTTTTCCTAATATGTCCAGAAGCTTCTTTTAAAAATTGTCTGTCTTTTTGGTAAAGGGATGAATTAAACAAAGTTATTAAAAGTAGATTTCATAATTTCAACATTTGGTAATATAAAGCTTAATTAACTTTTCTACATTTTCTCTGATTCTGACTCTGAGCATTTTCAAAAATACCCAAATAAATCTCTGTTCCACTAGCACATAACAGTTATCTTGATCAATATCTGTACAATACCATGATATGTTTCGTAATAAATTCAGACAGCACACAGGATCGGACCTACTGTCTAAGTAAAGTTGAAGGTGATTCCATAATGGTCACTGTTTGCCTGTATTAGATGTCTCAAACACATGTATCCTGTTTGTCCAAACGATTTATTCAGAGTCCTATATATCCAAACTTCAAAATACATTTATATAGCGCCCTATGTAATTTGTAAAATTACTCTAAAGCGCTTTACAACATATGGATAATAGTATTAGTTATAATTGTGACACACAAAAAAAAGGCTTACAATCACCTTTATACATTAAGCAAGCAGATAATCATTGCAATGTGCACATAAATGAATAAATATAGGGTGGAAATCAACCTGTAACAGAATATTTGTTTTGAATTAACTATACAAACAGCCTGTTTTGTCTTTATTATAAATTTAAGTTAGAATGCCTTAAACCCATCAGGAATAGGGAGGGGAGTTCTACATTGGCAGCTTACATTGACAAGATCCAGGAAAGACAGTTTTGTGTACTTGTCTCGGAGCTCGGGTTTTGACAGTGACCGGCACAGGAAATCTTCCGGTACCAAGATGTGGCAATTGTTCTCCATACACTCAATACCTGTGTAATGTATCAAGTCACTTACATGAGATGAAACATACAATAAATTCTGTATGTATACCTAGGTACAATTAATGCTTTTTTGTCAAAAGTTGTAAAAACTGTGAAAATGTCTACATTTCAATTTTGTTTCATTAACCTCCTATGATATTGCACAAATTCTCAGATAGAGATTAGGAATCAGAGAAATGTGGCTTTGGTAAAATTGTGAACAATTAAAACATTCTGTGTTAGCTTCTCACTTTTTTACTAACACATTCGCAATAAAATCTCAAAATTTTAGAGTACATTTACTAGGTCACTGACTGGCATGGCCTGAAAATTCTACAACCTAAACCCATATTTCACTATCCTTGACATTAAATCTACAAACTAGTGGAATTGTACATCTCTGTATTATGGTTGCAAGCATATTATATTTTCAACATAAAGAAAACTATGTATAATGCTGATTTACAACATTTTGAAACTTTGAAATAAGGATTTAAAAAATAAATAAATCAACTATTAGGATCAAGATAACCACTCTAATCTAATCAATAGTCTGTATATACAGTACCTGATGTAACTCCCTGTAGAATCTGAACTTGGAAGTAGTTATCCCAGCATTCTCTACAGAATACATGGCCACAGCTAAGGTGACAGAAGTAATCCGACGGCAGCTTTCTACAGCACACTGAACATGTGTTCTGTACTCCCAGTGGTGCACTCTGTTGGGGGGGAAATAATACAAATACTTTAATTTGATATTGTACACAAACGTTTTGACGGGGACACCATCTCAATCAGTATTTAGGACAAAATATACAGGTGGAATAACAGAAAACAAGAACACAATGTTTTGGTTTCCTCAGTACGTTTTCCCCCTAGATACAATTCAGTCATTGATGAATGAAACCTGTCCATTTTTCAAAAAGATATACATATATTTTTTATATGCAATGTCCCCGAAAAATCAGTTTTAGAATCCAATTTATTGCCACTATACAAAACCATAGAGACCCGAGTTTTATCATTTACATGCATTTTAACCTGTATTATGGATGCAACAGGCCCAAACTCCAAACCTCACAGGTATTGTAAGATAGTAAATACATGTATATCATCATTAGTTACATATTTACCTTGTATTTAACGGCGGGTGTAATTTTGGAATCTACTAGGAACTTAGCAGGATCTTTCTTGTATCTGTAAATGGAAGCCAATTAATGAAAATCTAGAAGAAATTAAAACACTTATTAAAATGAAATTTTCAAATCTGCTGATTCCCACCTTTTTAAAAAATTTCAAAACAAGACAATTTAGTTTCCTGACAAATATCTTATAGAAATAAGACACAGACAGTTATACAGTAAATAATAGATTTCATGAAATATATATTCAAATTATCAAAATGAAAACATAATAAACTTTCAGTATTTGACCAGAATTTCTCTGAAAACTTTAATATCAGGTTTGCAATCTAATTTTACTAATGAGAACTGGAGTGCATGTAGTTCAATGACAAGTGCTTAGTTCTTACCTTTCCATGATAAATTCTTTCTTCCACTGATGTACCTGAAGCAGCATTTTGGCTAGGTGTGGATCTACCTTAAAACACATGAACAGTGATAATAATAAGTAAATAATAGTCTATGTTATCAGTGTTCTCATTAAAAGTTGGGTGCCGGCTAAAGTAGCCTGCTATTCATCAACTTTGAACAGGCTTGTAACAGAATATGCATAGGTCAACATTATTGCATGTGATTACCGGGTATTCATGATCAAACGACTATTCTTTTCAAGTCAACCCCCTACAGTCGGCTGAACGTATATGTATTAGGGCAAAACTAACAAGAGGCCCAGAGGGCCTATACAATGTATTGCTCACCTGAATATTTAAGCAGTCATAGCAAAATATTCTCATTAAATATTATACTGTACTACAAATATTTCACTCGCAGACTTTGTCAGCTCCATCAGTTGAAACTAACAGTCAAATATTATTATATGATTCTATGCTTTTTGGTTCTTCTTCAGAAGTTGTTTGAAGTGTTTGACATGTTTTCCCCTGTGACCTTGTAAGTAAGTCAAGGTCATATCATTCGCAAACTTTGTTTGGCTCTTTCCCAGGAAATAACCAGCCAAATATTAAGGTTCTATACCTTCCAGTTCTTCAGAAGAAGTTGTTCTAAGCGTTAGACATATCTGACTCCTGTGACATTGAAAGTAATATAAGTCAAGGTCATTTTCATTCTCAAACTTTGTTGGGCTCTTTCCTAGGAAGCTTCAAGCTAAATATTAAGGTTCTATAACTTTCAGTTCTTCAGAAGAAGTCGTTTGAAGTGTTAGACATATCTGACTCCTGTGACCTTGAAAGTAAGTCAAGGTCTTTTTCATTTCCATTCTTTGTCGGGCTCTCTCCCAGGAAGCCACCAGCCAAATATAAAGATTATATATATACCTTTCAGTTCTTCAGAAGAAGTTGTTCTAAGCGTTAGACATATCTGACTCCTGTGGCCTTGAAAGTAGGTCAAGGTCATTTTCATTCTCAACCTTTGTTGGGCTCATTCCCAGGAAGCTACAAGCCAAATATTAAGGTTCTATACCTTCCAGTTCTTCAAAAGAAGTCATTTGAAGTGTTTGAAATATCTGCCTCATGTGACCTTAAAAGTAGGTCAAGGTCATTTTCATTCTCCCAGGAAGCCACCAGCCAAATATTAAGGTTCTATACCTTCCAGTTCTTCAGAAGAAGTTTTTCTAAGCATTAGACATATCTGACTCCTGTGACCTTGAAAGTAAGTCAAGGTCGTTTTCATTATCAAACTTTTTTGGGCTCTTTCCTAGGAAGCTTCAAGCGAAATATTAAGGTTCTATACCTTCCAGTTCTTCAAAAGACGTCGTTTGAAGTGTTTGACATATCTGCCTCATGTGACCTTAAAAGTAGGTCAAGGTCATTTTCATTCTCAAACTTTGTTGGGCTCTTTCCAAGGAAGTCACCAGCCAAATATTTAGGTTCTATTACTTTCAGTTCTTCATAATGTAGTTGTTTTAAGCATAAGACATATCTGACTCATGTGACCTTGAAAGTAAGTCAAGGTCGTTTTCATTTTCAAACTTTGTCAGGCTCTCTCCCAGGAAGCCACCAGCCAAATATAAAGATTCTATACCTTTCAGTTCTTCTTCAGAAGTTGTTTGAAGTGTTTGACATATCTGCCTCATGTGACCTTAATAGTAGGTCAAGGTCATTTTTATTTTCAAACTTTGTTCAGCTCTTTCCCAGGAAGTCACCAGCCAAATATTTAGGTTCTATAACTTTCAGTTCTTCAGAAGAAGTCGTTTTAAGAATAGACCTATCCGACTCCTGTGACCTTGAAAGTAAGTCAAGGTCATTTTCGTTTACAAACTTTGTCAGGCCAATCCCAGGAAGCCATCAATCAAATATAAAGATTCTATACCGTTCAGTTCTTCAGAAGAAGACGTTTGAAGCATTTGACATATTTCACCCCTGTGACCTTGAAAGTAGGTCAAGGCCATTTTTATTCGCAAACTTATTATATGGAAGCTACCTACCAATTGTCATGTCTCTAAACCTTTTGGTATTTCAGAAGAAGTTGTTTGAAGGTTTTTACGTATTTGACCCCTGTGACCTTGAAAGAAGGTCAAATTCTGTTTTTTTCGCAAACTTTGACGGGCTTCATATAAGGAAGCTACCAGCCAAATATCATGACTATATGCCTTCTGGTTCTTCAGAAGAAGTCGTTTAGAGGAAAGTTGACAGACGCCGGACAACAGACGCCGGACGGACGCCGCGCCATGGCATAAGCTCAGCTGCCCTTTGGGCAGATGAGCTCAAAATTATGTAATCATATATATATATATATATATTACCTTGAGACAGCTACATAGAAATTCTACATCTTCATTGAGCAATCTTTCAACATCTTCAACTTTCAATAGTTCATATTCAAAATATTCTGGGTCATCTGTCTTCTTTGGCCTGTCAATGTCAAGGTCATCTGTGTCGTTGTCATAGTAACCACAAAAATCCTCCTCGTCTTCGTCCATATGATCCGACTGATCGTAGTCTGAATCGTTATCGGAATCCTGACTCTTCATCTCTGCAGACATTTCTGTCTTCCTCTACAGAACACTACACCACCAGTTTCACTGAAACATTATAGACACAACAGTTTCAAATCTTCTGAGAAATCATGAGCTACAAATTAAACTAGAAGACAAATAAAAGACCTAAAGAAAAAGTTAAATAGTCCTGTTATATGCAAACATGTAGGTAGACAACAACATGTTTTTTTCAGCTTTTTAACTTACACTATGCAGTGTTTTCTCCAGATTTGAATTAGAAAGGGGCAGACTGGGCTTTGGTAATGTTAAAAAGTATGATTTTTCAAAATTTCGGATGTACTCAATCCTTGGACCTTTAGGACTCTTCCTCTTGAAAAAACACTAATATATTTATAAAACGCCTTTTTGCTCATTATATTTACCAATTACATGATTAAATATATTCTGTATTTATCCTGCCTTTTTAAAATTAAATCATGTGGGTTGACAAATAATCTCTGACTAAAGATTATATTACTATATACATGTATGCTTATTACCAGATAAATATATATATTATTAAAACAAAAGACTTGAAAGCAGAGATGGAAAATGGTTTCCCTGTGCCATTATATCACAAACACATTCATTAAACATGTTGTTTGCATGTTGTCTTACATCCTCGCAACAGGTATTTATTGGTCAATATGAAGACGAGTAAAATTGTACATGTAGGGTTAATTATTATACAATGGATCAGGTGTATGATTTCAATCTCATTTTTTGTTTTCCTTGTTTCTTTTGGGCGAGTGGGTGGGGGTGGGAGATTGCAGTGCGTGTGGAAGTGTACGTATTGGGCATCATGATCTGAATTTGTACCAATGCAACTGTACTAAATTTACAGTTCATCTTCCCCAATTCTCAGTTAGTACAATCCTTCTTCAATCCAGCTATAGTCTATTAGTCCACCTGTGTGATGAACCATGTTTGTTTCTTTGATATTATTACATAATGTTAGAATTTTTCCATGTTTTGGTTTTGTTAAGAAATTAACATCCTCACAGCATGCAGCTTTGTATTCATAAGGTAAAATGACACACCTATAAAGCTCTAATGTCATGTTGATGAATTGTTTCAAGGTTTTAAAAGAATCAAGAGCAAACCTTATACTTGAAATATAATATGAAAGAAACTACATACTTCGGTAAATAAAAATGTTCTAATTTCAAAAAACCGAAATACTAAGTTACACATGTAAACAGCTGATACATATGCGCAAATACAAATAATGCAGCTGTAAGTGGGCCCCGGGGGAAATCCAGAATTATAATGAAAAATATGGTTAAATCATGAACATCAACAGCGCTAGCACAATGTTATAATCACAGCAGGTCGCAATCGCGATCCCTGATTATGACCTTTCGCTTTCTACGTATTTCTTCGAATACAACACACGTGCTTAAAGTCTAGATTTTCCTGTTATTGAAAAAGTAGAATATCATCTTTGATATAAACTGTATCGACTGAATAAGTATAAAGTTTAATGTATACACGTTCATTTCGTGTTGGAGAAATATATATCCTGTTCATAGCAACATTGCATGCGTAATTTTCAGTGAAGACCCCATGGGCATAAGATTTTATGAATATGATTTTTACCATTTATCCGACATATGATAAGATATTTTTTTTAAACATGAATACATGAAACATTGATTTACCTTTTCTGGATCGAAGATGTCTGCTACGGTGTTTAAATTTTAAGCTAAACAAAACCAATTGTGCCACTGTCAAATAATAACAAACAGACAAAGATTTCCTTCCAAACCGGAAGTGACGTCCAAAGAAAATTTTCCAGCAATATCGCTAAAACGCTTTGTGACATAAACCGCGAAATTGAAACGCATGAGAGATCCCCGCTATAGCCGGCTGAGGAAGTTGCATGCTGATCCAGACGTCAACAGGTAAAATTCTACAGCAAATTAAACTGTAACTCCCTTTTCTGAATAGTCGCTTAAGTATTGTGGTCCCCAACATAACAACCATGGTGGCACATATCATGTGTAGTTGTGATGTCACTTGTCAATTCATCATATCACGTCACCTGTGTATATATTAACGACAACAGCAATGATGATGTCAGATGTATCATCATTGATGCAACTTATCATATGTTTGGCTTGATTTCCCCCCCAATGAATTATTGTAAATGTCCTTACTTGATAATATTACTATAAAAGCTGTGATTGGTCATATGCCCCAGTCAGGCATCTTAAACTGGATTAGAGCATTCCTGACAGGACTATCCCAACAAGTCATAATCAATGGAACTCCCTCAAAGAGTCTGCCAGTACTAAGCGGGGTCCCACAAGGGAGTGTACTCGGGCCAATTCTGTTCTTGATATATATCAATGACATGCCAGATGTATTAGAGTGTATATCTACAAAACTATTCGCGGACAACGCCAAAATATCGGCTAATAATTCAACCCCAGAAAATCGAGCTAGACTGCAACAGTGTATATTGACAGAATGTGCCAATGGACAGAAAATTGGATGATGAAGCTGAATGTCGACAAATGCAAGCATATAGAAATTGGACAAAAACCCAAGTCATCCAACTACTCGCTGGCGCAATACGGAAACACCATCGAAATCACTAAGGTGAATAGTGAAAAAGATCTGGGAGTTCACCTCAATTTTTCCATACACATCCAAAAAGCAGCCAGCAAAGCAAACCAAATTGCAGGAATAGAATTCAGAAGTTTTACATATATGAGCCCAACCATATTTGTAACAATCTAGAAAGCTTTTACACGACCCCACATTGAATACGCTTCAAAGATATGGTCACCCCTGTATACCAAGGACAAAATTATAATTTAAAAAGTCCAGCGAAGAGCAACAAAAAGAGTACCAACACTAACTAACAAATCATAGGCTGAACGTCTAAGAATACTCGGTCTACCAACCCTGGAATACAGGAGGGAGAGAGCAGACATGGTCAAAGTGTACAGAATCCTTAATAACATCGACAAACTTGATAAGGATAAACTATTCCAACACTGCGAATACAGATCTACAAGGGGGCACTCCAAGAAGCTGTTTAAAGGGCCCTACAAAAAGCTGATCACAGGAAACTTCTTTAGCAACCACATTATTAAACCGTGGAACTCATTGCCAGAGGAAGTGGTCTCATCACCGAGCCTAAACTGCTTCAAGGAAAGACTAAACAAGTTCTGGAGAAATCACCCGAGGAAATTCCACCCCTCATTTTGGTATTAAGACTGGATCTACCATTCCAATACCATACTTAACATCAAGAGACTCAACTAAAACAATGAACTGTTTGAGTTGTTTATGCAAACTCTACAACGGAAGGGCTCAACCCTTTTATCGACATGTAGGTGAAGAAACGAGTGGATTTGTTTTAATTTTTATTTTTTATTTTTATTACCATAGACATTGCTACACTATTATGATTAAGGAAATAATAAGTGCGCAACCGGAAAAGTAAGTCGCGAGTGAAGAAATAACAATGATGCATCACCACAAGCTTGAATTAGCTTTCAACGATGCCACATCAGCAAATCAGCCAATGAGGGTTTATTTTTCTTTCAGTGCAGAGCATATCCAATTTAATATTTTTTAAATCAGTTTCCTGTCACCAGGTCACTGTTGTGTGCTCAACCTGTCACTGTCGTGTTATCGCCAGCAAGGTACACACATTCAGTGGCGGATCCAGAGGTTTCTGGGGCTTCAGGACCCCCCCC